GGGGGGGGGGGGGGGGGGGGGGGGGGGGTGCAGGGGAGCGCAGCCTTATTTAGAGGTATTTGAGCTCCGGCAAGGCACTCCTTCCCGTATTACCGTATCGTAGAAGTCGTGTGTTCTGAACACTATCCCATCAGGTGAAACTGACCAACGAGCGAATGGACGAGAGCGAGAGAGAGTGAGCGCCAAAGGAGCGGCTGTTAAGCAGACAAGAACTAACCGGAGGACTCCAGGCCAGTAGCGGAGCAATCGATAATACAGGCACACAAAAAGAAAAAAAGGTGCTGTTCGCTAGACTATACCACCATATCTATATGTTTTCGGGGTCGCTGAATCCGAATCCGTTGTCCGTTAAACTCCATCACGTCATCATTTGTCCCTAACCTCAAAAAATACCTCAAAATCGCTAAAACGGCCCTTTTTAAGTTGAGAAATGAGACCTGACAAGCATACCTATATGTTTTCGAGGTCGCTGGATCTGAATATGTTGTCCGTTAAACTCTATCACTTCACCATTCATCCCTAACCTCAAAAAATACCTCAAAATCGCTGAAATAGCGTCTTTGAAACTGAAAAATGAACATTGGCGACTGAAATCTGGGCAATAGGCTACTTATATGTTTTTGGGGATATTGAATTTGAATTTTGAAGTTCGATTAACCTTAACAGGTTAGAATTCCTCTTCAACTCCAAATATTATCGCAATTCTCTGTTCACTTTTTCCTATGGTATCTAACTCTTTTACCTTCAAAAGATCTATGGAATGGCTTTCTTTTACGTTTCTAGGAAGAAGCCTTTTCGTACATTTTCTCTTTTCAAAGTCCAACAATAGTCAGCCATCATGTTTATACCCCATCTCCCTTGATAGCGACGCTACATTACTTCTAGATCTTGGTGAAATCATTCTTCTTGTTCCTCACTATAGTCTTCTAAATTCATTGGGAAATAATCGAGATGAGAATTCAAAAAATACAGCTTGAAATTCATCAAACACCCTAATTTTCCAAAGTTTTTCGCCATATCCATACTATTTGTTTGTAGTCATCACTTTTATGATTGCTCAGAAAGTTCTCTACAACTTTCTTAAAACTAATCCACGCAGCCTTCTTCTTCTGATTCATTGACTTGTGACGAGACGTTCCTCCTCGTCACCACGACCCGACCGAACATCCGTCGGGTCGTGTAATAGGCGCAAAGCGCCAAACAAATAAAACCAAAACCGCCGCCGGCTCGCGGCACCGCCGCGGATGCCCGCGCGTGGGGGAACGGCGTACGTGCCGAAATTACGAGCAGGCCGGTATATAAGCAAGGCGCGATAACGATACGGGAGCAGTCCCGTGGCGTCCGTACTCGCCTTGGTACGTTCGCCGCTTCTTCGCTGACTACCACCAGCATCCTGATAACCGCCGCAACGGGAAGGTGCGCTCATCCTCCCCGAGTACGGTCGTCCGCCTCATCCGCTCCCCAAGAGGCACGGGAACCAGAGGTGGCGCGCTCACCGCCTCGGTCATGCGCTCCTGACCTCCCTGCCGATTGGAGACCCGACCGCGAGGAAAGGTGTGCTCACCTGCCCTCAAGGCCCGTAGAAAGAGAAAAGAGGTTTTCCAGCGACCAAGGGATACAGAGGTGGCGCGCTCACCGTCTCTGTCCAGAACTCTGGGCTCCCCGGTGGCTGGTCCCTCACGTACGTCTCCTCACCTGCCAACCTCAAGGCACGCCGCCAGCCCAACCGCACCGAGTACAACCGCTTCGCCGACACAAGCCCGATCCACGTCCGTCGGGTAAACTGCGACAGGCGCTCCGCGCACCGCGGCTAGAAGTGGAGCAAGGGGTAAACCACACGCGATAGAACAGGCCCGTGAAACGCCCGCGTTAGTTATAAGTTAGTTGTAAATTAATTGTAAACCCGCGTTAGGCATAAGGTAGTTATAGATTAGTTGTAAGTATAGGTTAGGCCGCGTTGGCCATAAGATAGTTGTAAGTATAGGTTAGGCCGCGTTGGCCATAAGATAGTTGTAAGAATAGGTAACTCCATCGCAAGTTTAGCTGAATAAATTATCTCGAAATCCACACATCAACGCAGTTACTCACGCACCCACACCCCGCGCATACTAACACTCCAGCTCACACTCGCGACACCGACTCTGGACACCGGCGAGCACGTCCACCGTCTCCTCGCGTGTCACGATCGCTCGCCCAACGACATCAAGATCATCCAACCGCTCCGAGCGAAACCGGAACCGTGACAGACTTGATGAAATTCTCATCCTTCCACATTTTTCGAATTTATGGTCCATCGAAAATGCCTTCTTTCAGTTTTGCATCAGATATCCTTGGGAATTGTTTTCCTAAATACTCGAAACATTTTCCTGCTGCTTTGAGAGTCTTGACGAACTGCTTTATTAGATCAAGTTTTATATGAAAAGATGGGAGCAATACTTTTTTTGGATCAATCAAAAGATTAGCAATGATGTTGTTTGAACCTGGTTCAAACGAAGTTCTCTTTGGCCATATTTTCTGTTTATAGTGATTGTCACGGTCTCCACTACACCATAAACATAAGAAGCAAGGAAAATTCGTAAATTTGATTGTTGGCCTATTATCATGTTCAAAATTTTAAGATCCCCACAGATTTACCACTTATGTTCTAAATATTTAATTTTCTTTAAAGCAATTTTGCTCAATAATATCAACTTTTTCGCTCCTATACCAGTCGCACATTCAACAGAATTGAAAGAAGATTACAGTAATATGAAACTAGTTTTAGAGAAAATTAAATACAGTATTTATGTATTTATACAGTAATATAAGAGCGCCAGTCCGTGTCTTGTCGCAATGCCGGTTGAATAAGTTCGTGATTAGAGTAGCGTTGATGACGGATGGGGACAAGCTGCCGCGCTCGGAGGTTGTACACCGAGGCATCGCTCACATTTTGGTGGCCGCGATCCCAAGAGAACCGGTAAAATTTGGTGCGGGTACGAACCAATCGAGTTCGACACCCTTTCGCGTTGCGTAGCGATTGCCTGGCTGGACCCGAACCGAGGTGTCGGAGCAGGTGACCTATCCCGATTCGCGCTAATTAGAGAAAATGTCTCTCGTACCGATTACCGCTCGTCGTTTCATGAAAGATGTTGTCGTTCTACCATTTTTTGTGAAAGATAGTCAACAGAGAATTAGTGCGATTGTTGCAAGATTGGCGTGTCGTGCGATCGTTCATGGACGGAAGGAGTCCGGTCGTCAGTGAGACGACCGTTACCGTTAACGCGCAGTTGTGATGTGAGCCGCGTGAGCTCTCGTGAGTGGTCTGTGTCGTATCTGATCAACTTATCGATTATGGTCTCTAATCTAAAATCAGATTGTTATAAACGTAAATATTATTTCTAGCGCTGTTGAAACGCTTCATGAAGAACCGTTTCGACCGCGCTACAACGAGGCAGCGGATGTGCAAGTGCTACGCTAAGCACCACCTTGTACATTCCGTGCCTCGGGCTTTGAGCCGGAACGTACCGGACTATTACCAAATTTGGCAACTTCCTTGTTGTCAAGACACTCCCTCCGATAAGGCTAACAACTATTATAAAAAAAGCGGAGAAGACCGCGCTTAAGAGAATTCTTCCTCCGGTCTCTCGCTCGCGATGTGCGTACCTGTCGCGTGTGAATATATGTTTCGGGAGTTTAATAAATAAATTAATACTCGTTATAATAAAGTTAGTTTACTACATTAGTTGACTACAATCTTTTTGAATCACTCCCATCACCACACATCCTGCCGCGCCCGCAGCACCGAGTCCTAAGATCCTTTCCTTCGTATCCGACAGAAAAGGGCACGACAAATTTAGTGGCAGCGGTGGGATAGGTGTCCGCCGGGCCCTAGGTGTTATCTGTGAACAAAAGTGCATTACGGCTTAGGAAAAGGTGGTATAAGTAACGAAAGAAGAAGAGGACGAAAAAGATATCGTCGGAACTGGCTAGTGAACATCGAAAATACGTTCACTGATAATCGTTATCGGCTATCTCAAGGACGGGCGAGAAGCTACACAACCGAGAGGAAGCAACACTACCCCGTCAATACATTTGACGACAAGTCTAAAAAAAAAAAAGAGAGAGGGAGAGTTCAAAAGTTATTACGAGCCCTCAAAGACAACTGGGACAAGGCGAAATGGAGACAGCAGAGGATAGCGGTAATCGATGAAAGACAACGTTGTACCGTAATCAAGACGACCGTTGGAGCTACGGCCAACGATACTCATTGTTAGCGACACCGGAGCCTACGGCGAATGCACCAGCGGCGACCGCGACTTACCTCAACGCCAATCGACCCAGTGACGATCAACGACTTGCTGACACAACCAAAACATGGTGAACTACAAAAGAGCCGTGATAACATTACTGTAAGTCGAAGACCCATTGTAACTCGAGCGACTAAGCGTATGCGAGTGTACACGTAAAAATGTGAATGTCGAGCGAAAGCGGTACTCCCAAGCGATCTATATTGAATCGAACGTGGCTACATAGCGCACCAGCGAGATTAACTATCGAGCGCCTATCGAATCCCAACGAGATAGTTGCTAGTGCTATAGACGACGCGCATGAAACATTAGAGCTCGTGCGACGTGTGTTAGACTATTCGAGCGAAATCGAACACGAATCTCACCATGCGTAACCGCCGAACGTGAATTCTCTTTCAATAGACCATAGTATACTACCGGATGTGCAAGTTGCAGACAACACCCGACGTACAAGACGCCGCGCATTCTTACCCTCGCACAGTACTATTAGCGACGTTTCGCAAAGAGGAGACTTTTCTTTGATGTCTTACGATAGTAGCGTATTCGACCCAATTGACGCAATGGCGACCGGGCAACGCGACGAAATCCCACACGCGACGGAAAACAACATAAATCAAGAAATTTCTCGCCCCCGCGGGCCGCCCCCGCGGGTCGCCACTGCGGGCGGGTCCGTCGAGCGATGTAGATGAAACCCAACCGGGACCCAGTAGAATTCGTCATGACGTTGACCCCTATAGCACTGTTAACGAACAGTTATTAGCGCGCATAGAAGAACTATGAGATACACTATACACACGCATGCAGCTCGATTAACTAACACTCACAGAGACAACCCACGAAATGTGAGGAACACTAACATAGAATCGGAACGATTCCCTTCAGACAGACGAGGATTAGGTCACAATGATCATTTCACAGACGGGTTACCCCCGATTAACGAGAAGCGATCTCGGCGCATCAGAAAAGCGGGAGATCAGATCCCTAATTTCAATGGCATGCAGGACGACAAACTAGTAGAATTTTTAACGGCGTGCGAGTATACATTCGAACTGATCCATCCCGCTGACGAATCCGTGTTAATCAGCGCAATAATTTGCACTAAGCTGAAAGGCATTGCTTTAACTGAGGTTAAAAATCGAAACATCCCTACTTTTGCTGTCTTAAAAGACGTATTAGAAACATGTTTCATGAAGAAAAAATCGGTAACTCGACTACTCCAAGATTTTAATAATTTGCATCAGAACCTGAGTAGGATTTTATCGGGGCATGCCCCAAGTCCGTAAAGGGCCTAGATAGGCATGCCCTAACATAGTCTTGGCATCGTTGGGCCTAGAAAGAGTGTACAAAGACAAATTCTGAGTAGAATTTCCTTAACAGACCCTGAGTAGGCACTATTGGGGATCCTCCTAACTAGGCCTACCACTGTTGCACCTAGAAAGAATCAACAAAGACAAATTCTGAGTAGAATTTCCTAACAGACTCTGGATAGGTGCTGTTGGGGATGCCCTTAATAAGTTCTGCCATCATTAGGCTTACATATGGTCAAGCAAAAGGATTTCTAAAGGGAAATTTGTAAATAAGCTCAAAATAGGCACAGATATGGATGTCTGTAGACATCAACACAATGTATTTATATAATTCAAAGACATGTACTTATATAATTCAGTCAGTTCTTGTTTATTCAATTCTTGAAATAGTTTAAAGTCTTACAAAATTTTAGTTTAGTCTTAGACTGAAGTAAAATTTACATAAGTTTGAAGTAAAACCAAAATATCTATAATTTTAGTTCTCAAAAATACAGTCTTCCAAATAAGGCGTGTCGTAGGGTTCCACACCGCAAGCTTTCCGAAAGATAACTTGGAAATTATATTGAAATACAACATTTAAATAATTTAGAAATATTTGTGCAACATTTTATCAAAATCTTTTTCACTAAAATATTTCAGAAATCGCTTATAATAAACGTTGATTTATATATTTATATATAAATTTAATTAATTTAATGAAATCTTATATGGTAAGGTAGATTTCTCCTTCTTTTAATTGTACTCCTTTATAATTACTCAAAGTTCATAGTCTTTTATGACTTTATTTATTTAATAACAATCAACAATAAAAAAATTTTACTATAAAAATTTAAAAATAACGAAATGGAAGTGCGGGATTTTGTAGACCTCACCTTATTAGCTAAGGATTAAATTAACAATAAAAGTACGAAAAATATAATTTTTATTAAAATTATATCATTTTACTAAGTTATATTATTAAAAAATATATTATATAATATATTACTGTGTTAATCACAACATATATGAATAAAATGTAAGACGCTTATATTGATTGAAGAAGTGGCATAGTGTCTAAAACAACAGATTCATAATCTAGAGATGCCTTAGGCAGGGTCCAAGTTCGAGTTCCACCAGTGTCGGTGAGAATTTTTAAATGTGATGTAGCATTGGAATCAAGTAATCTAAAATTTTCAAATAAAATCAGCAAGCGCTGCGACCATTACGAATAGTTATTAGAAAAAAAGTAGTACATATCATACATAAGAGAATGTTTTTTTCTACTTAGACATGTCTAGATAGGGCCTCGTCAGATTTACAAATCGGGCCCTGACTTACAAAAGCGTTACATCTCTGTACAGAGCCTATTCGGGTTTGCCTGAATGGCGCCTAGACAGAAATGGGGAAAAGCTATCTAGGGTCCTTACAAGCCCTCTTTTAAATTCCTATCCGGGAAGCCTGGAGAAGATGTACGAACCTTCGAAAACATTAACCACGGATCTATTCGAAGCTGGCACAGAGGGGGATTTCTATTCCTCCTCACAGAAACTTGGTATCCATTTCTTTTTGAAATCGCTAGCCTTTATTAACTATCAATTAGGACTAAATGACAGGCTGCAAACAATAGTCCGATCCCGCGCACCCGCGACTTTAACCAAGGCAATAGCAAGAGCAGTAGAAGAGGAAAAGATCAGAGGAACTCACGAAGTCCCCGCGCGGACCTATGTAACAAATTGAAGCTCTTTCGTAAGCTCTAAACGAGAAACCCTCGCGCCCAGTGACTATTACCGCGCTGAATACAGATAAACTATCGACATCTCGCAGAAATGAGAGCGCCAGAATCAACAACGACCAAGAGGAAAGAAACAAAAAAACAAGGTCACGTGCGCGACTACCGCATAAATAAAATCAGGCGAAATTTGCATTGTCGCACCGGATTTAATCTAGTAATTTTGCCCATAGAGGAGGCCAAACAAAAGAAAATACCATTTCTCGTTGACACGAGATCCGCTATTAGCCTCGTAAAAATACGCACATTAGACGATGATACCCCTATGACTGCTGAAAAATTGACCTTAACGGGTATCACCGGACATAAGGCCTATACTATAGGAAAAACCGCCACACTCAGCTTAGGAAAACAGTGTCGAAAATTCGAACTTTTCGTGGTACAAGACGATTTTCCCATCGATTATGAGGGGATCTTAGGAATAGACTTCCTCCGCGAACACTGTGCAAAATTCGATTATCAGGCAAAAACGATGATTATTTCCTGACGAAGTCTATCGCTAATACCATATCAAACATACAATCTCCCCGCGCGCAGCGAAATAATAATATGTGCCGCAGTAAACTCAAACCAAGTGGGAATAATCCTAGCCGAAGAAATTTCGCAGAGAATTTTTATTGGAAATTGCCTAGTGGAATCTATCAATTATACGTGTCCTGCAACAATAATTAATACTACCGATAACACTATCGAAATAACTACACCTTATGTAATATTAGAAGATACTTCGGAATACGACACGACGGAGATAAACTTACTCACCACAGGACAAAACAATGAAACCTCGTTAGCACGAACAGAAGTATTGAACCAACAATTACGGCTAGAGCATCTAAATAAAGAAGAACAAAAAATAATATGCGACATTTTCGAAGATTACAATGATATATTCTTCCTTGAAGGAGACAGTCTTACTCACACCGCGGTCGTGAAGCATCAGATTACTACGCGAATCTTAAAGGCACTGGAGTCACACTTCTCAGTGATTCATTCGGAGAACGGGATATCCGGGTGCACGGTGGCCGGTGATAGTCGGCAACGGGGGGCGCGCCAGTGATCCGCTATGGCAACGCTGGGGGTCCACGCCCCCTGATCCGTTAGGCTAAGGCCGCTGTGCACTTAGGCCCCGCTGCGATGAAGGTTCCACCAAGGGGTGTTACCTGAGCTATCGATGAAGCGTACCGCTGGGGGTGCCGGTGCCTAGAACCACGGGTGGGAGAAGAGCGCAAAAGGCGTGCACTATATGGGAATAGCCTAGAAGACCATAACAAAAAACTTGTTAGTGTATTATAGCGAATACGGCAATGTAATTTGAATCTTCAACCAAATAAACATGAGTTCCTTAAGAAGGAAGTAATCTACCTAGGGCATATAATTTCGGAAAATGGAATTCTACCGGATCCGAAAAAAAAAGAAGCTATAACAAACTTCCCGAGACGCACAAAAATTAAAGACATTTAATCGTTTATAGGGCTCGCTAGATATTATCGAAAATTCATTGAAAACTTTTCAAAAATTTCATGACCTTTAACCAAACTAACTAAAAAAGGCGAAAAATTTGAATGGAACAAAGAACAACAAATAGCATTTGACAAATTAAAAGAAAAATTGACCATCACACCGGTGTTAACATACCCGGATTTTGAAAAAGAATTCGTGGTCACGACCATGCAATCGGAGCCATATTATCGCAAGGTCGAATAGAAAGAGACAACCCGATAGCCTACGCGAGTCGCGTATTATCACGCGCAGAATAAAACTACGACACAACTGAAAAAGAATTATTAGCGATAGTTTGGGCCGTAAAACATTTTAGACATTACATCTATGGAACTAAATTTAAAATAGTAATGGATCACAAATCGTTAGCTTTTCAACGTTACGGGTCCCGGATCCAGACTAATAAGATGGAGATTAAAACTAGAGGAATATGATTACGAAATAATTCATAAAGCAAGGAAAACGAACGTAAATGCCGACGCGTTAAGCAGATATCCTTTAGTATCAATATTACAAGCAAATGCTCCACATGAGACGAACGAGACGAATGAAACAGAAGAAGAAGAGGAAGAAGATGAAAAGAATACAGACAGACATAATATACAAGACTATACCAAAGAAGAAAAAAGACAGATACTCTATGAATACTATGACGCACCATTAGGAGGACATCAAGAAATACAACGTACATTAAACAGAATACACCTAAAATATAATTGGAAAAGAATAACAAGAGATGTAACAAAATATATAAGAAAATGCGAACTATGCCAGAAAAATAAGTTAAGTCTTCAGAAAAAATCGCCAATGATTATCACGGACACACCTACTAAGCCGTTCAAGAAATGCGTGTTAGATATAGTAGGACCTCTCGCCATAACAAAAAATGGAAATAAGTATCTTTTAACGTTTCAGGACCAAATTTAGTAAAGCTATTCCTATATCGAATTAAGAGGCGACCACCATCGTGAAAGTATCTACAGAAAATATAATACTAAAATATGGAAAAAGTACTAACAGATCAAGGAACAAACTTTCTGAGCAAAATTTTCAAATCAGTATGCAAATTATTGAAGATAGAAAAAATCTAAACTACGGCGTACCATCCATAGAGTAACGGAGCCTTGGAAAGATCATACCGAACACTCACAGAATATCTTCGACATTATATAAATAATGATTAAACAGATTGGAACGAATGGATCCCACACGCAATCTTTACATATAATACGATTCCACACTCTACAACTAATTATACATCATTTGAACTGGTATATGGACACCAGGCAATCATACCATCATCCATACTATTACCATCAAAAACTACGTATAGTATTGAGGATTATGCACAAGAGATAAAACAACGGCTTCGAGCAACGAACCAAATAACCCGGGAGCACGTCAAAGAAGAAAAAATAAGAAGTAAAAAATATTACGATCGAAATACGAAAAAGACTGTACTTGACATAAGCGATCAAGTATTATTACACGACGAGACAGTACGATGAGGAACCTCCTGCGACGACGTCATGTCGCAGAAGGAGGAGGAGGAAAGGGTGAGGCGAAGCGTGGCGGCCCTCCGGAATGGGCAGAGGCACCCTAGGAGGAGAAGAAGGGCGCCTCTTCCACCCGCGCATACGCGCGGAATTGAGGGGCGGCGCACCCGTGGGCGGGAAAGGGACGTCACCGCTGGCGTTCTTCCTCCAAGGTACCTGTGGGTGCGCCCCCCTCCCATACGGCCGGACCCTTCTGGCGGCAATCGCCGGAGGACCCGGCGGGGAGGGGGAATATTAGGAGGCGCCTGGTTGAGGGGGGGAGGCGCCAGAAGGCGCGAATCTCTCCCCGTAACAAGAAGTCAAACCAGGGGGGCAGGGAGGCTGATCCGCAATCGCGGGGGCCGCTCACCCCCTCCCAGAGTACGAGGGCTCCTGACCGAAAGGACGGAGGGGCATAATGACCCCCTGCCCCATAACCTCGGTCGAGAGCGAAGGGGCGGACCGAGTCCGGACGGAACCGAATCAGGCCCATAAAGCCCCGTTGGGGAAGGATATGACCGGACGGGGGGGGCCTCACGTCCGGTCACGGAGGATCTGGTGAAGCGGGCCAAAAGGGAAGCAATTCCCCCGACCCGGGGGTGAGGGCGGGGTGACCCGCCCGGCGACCGAGGGCGTCTCGGAAGTTATGCGCAAGCGGTTCCCGGGACGCCCTCTTGGTGGCCGCGAGAGGCCCGGCAGAGATTTTAGTGGGTAGGCCCCCTCCTCGGTTTTGTCGGGAGAGGGAGAGTCCCATACTACCCCTGGGGAAGTCCAGTATTCTCCGGAGGTGTGCGTAATACATTTCCTCTGCCTTAACAAAAAAAAAAAATTACGACGAGGAAGATCGAAGAAGTTAGACCCTATGTGGATAGGACCCTACGAAATAATAAAAAAACACCCTAACGCCATCTACACAATAAAAAAGGGAGAACCACTTTAAGAACACACGCAAACCGCATAAAACTATATCTAGAAGATTAAAAAATAAAACTCACCTAGACGTGCGATCTACCCCGCGCGCGACCACAGGGAGTCCCACGGAGAGGTTGCCCATTACCCATATCAATAGGTTTAACGTCGCGTACATTACGGGGAGCACCTCCCCGACCGTGATCCATGGGGGGAAAGCGCTCGGTCGGAATAGGAACAGACTTGCCAGGAATATCCATATTCCCCTCCTATGTATCTGCCTTAGACGTGTAGACGATACACTTTCCCTAAAAAAACAAACACTTCACGTACAACCATACACTTTACCGAAAACACGAACACAAGATAAAATAATATTACCTCCGGGAAATTATCGTACATCCGTCGCACATTAAAAAAAATTTTTTTTAAAGAACAAATATAAAATAACACGTCCTACTTCAGTAGGGAACCGAACGCAACTAAGAAAGTAAACCCTCACAAACACACACACAAACAAATAATAAGCAAAAAAAATAAATAAAAGAGAAAGGTGGACTTCACCAAGTTAGGAAGGAGACAAATTAGTCCCACGATAAAAAATAATAAGAAAAGCAGGTATCATGTTCATCTAAACACACCAACGATCTACTTACAGAGCACTTATCCTGCTTGAGATGCTCAGAGATTCTGATCCTTGAGCACAGGGCGCAAGACAAATGAGTTGCCAACGGAGCATTTTTATGAAATTCAAGAATTCTAACATACACCAGGAATATATTTCGATAAAGATATCTACATCCGGTAACTGTAACCTGGAAAACGGTAAAACAAATCAACATAGGTTCATTAATACAACAAATTTCACAAATACAAACGTACCTTGATAGAACATAAGAAATATGCAATACGCAACAAACCATAGGCACAACATGGGATATGTGCACTGATTTACACAATCTAATTAGTAAGGACTTACAACGCGCAAGAAAATTAACAAATAGCATAAACAAAATCTATAAATCCACCTCGAACTTACGTCGCGGGTTAATAAATAGAATAGGATCAATAGCCAAATCTTTATTTGGAACAATAGACACCAACGACGAAAAAATTATAAGCGAACAATTACACCTATTACAAAATAACCAAGAAACGATACAACATGTAGTAAAAATCAATTACAAATTCTAAACGCAACTATAGAACATCTAGGTAACTTATAAGAAACATTAGACAATAATTTCAAAATAGTATGAACTAATATGAATCAATTTTATAAAGAAGAAGCAGAAATCTACAAAAAAGAACAAATCACTGAACACTACATGATACTTAACGCAGTGACAAACGACCTAATAAATGACATTAATGACATAATATCATACATAGATAACGCCAAGTTGGGAAAATTACTGCCTCAACTTACACCCATTGAAAATATAATCGCACAATTTACAGAATCAACAATATATTTACTTCAAAATATACACTTTCCATTTACACTCGCCACTGAGCACTGGCTAAAAATAGAAAAATTCATCAAAATCAGTGCATATAAATACGAAAACATTTACACAATTTAAAAAATTCCCCTAATAACATATCCTACCTATACAATCACCAACATTATACCCTTCCCAGTACACAAAGTAAACAACACTTTCATGTTAACAGAAACAACATACCCTAAATTCGCGATACAGAATCGCAATAGATACAGAATCGAATACTTACCTTACATTACACGAAAACGAATTATTAGAATGTATTTACATAAAAGATCATTACACTTGCACACAAGAAAACACGATTTATAAAATTCACCCAACAACACCGTGCGAAATCCAAATATACACAGACACAAAAAATAAGGAAATATGTAGAATAAAACATATCACTTCCGAAAACACAATTTTAATTCCCTTAAAAGGAAAAAACGCTTGGTTGTACTCAACACATAACACACAACAATTACGTATATATGATCAAAATAAAAAATACCAAAACATAATAACAGGAATAATTACACTTAGACAATAATGTAAATTAACCATAGAAAACACCATAATACAATCACAAGGAACAATATCAGATAACATATTAGAAATATATATACCAAATCATAACCTGATTATATAGGAAAACACGAAATTATATAGGAAAACACGATTACAATAGAAAATATGATTACAACATCAAACATAAACTTAACGAAATTATCACAAAACTCATCCGAACTACTAAAATTAAAAACGCAACTAGCCGATATACAAGAAAATCTACACCAAAATCTATGGTCAAGTCACATAAATATAATTTACACCACTGCGCCTAGCGTAATAGTATTTATAATTTTAATTGTAATAATAATTATAATAGTAAGGAAAATGAAAAAGAAAACACAACCCCTCTCACATTACCATGTAATAACGAACACAATGTAAGAATACCGCAACGTTTTAGACCAATTATATCCACCATATCCGCAATATTGCGTAGAAATAGCATAAGCACATAAACAAAAAAAATATATATAATAATAATAAATATTTATATACGGGAAAATGAATTTTGTAACGCGAATGCGATATAATAAAATAAGTATAAACGATTATAACCATAGTTGTAAACGGGAAAAAAATGTAGAATAGAGATGATGAATAGAATAAGATTACGTACAAATAGCGAAAACCTCGTTAGACACTACGTTTTCTTTTTCCATGGGAGGAGGGATGTTATAATCGTAAATATTATTTTTAGCGCTGCCGAAACGCTTCACGAAGAACCGTTTCGACCGCGCTACAACGAGGCAGCGGATATGCAAGTGCTGCGCTAAACACCACCTTGTACATTCCGTGCCTCGGACTTTGAACCGGAACATACCGGGCTATTACCAAATTTGGCAACTTTCTTGTTGCCAAGACACCCCCTCCGATAAGGCTAACAATTATTATAAAAAGAGCGGAGAAGACCGCGCTTAAGAGAATTCTTCCTCCGGTCTCTCGCCCGCGACGTGCGTACCTGTCACGTGTGAATATATGTTTCGGAAGTGTAATAAATAAATTAGTACTCGTTACAATAAAATTAATTTACTACATTAGTCGACTACAATCTTTTTGAATCACTTCCACCGCGCCACACACTCTGCCGCGCCCGCAGAACCGAGTCCTAAGATCCTTTTCTTCGTGTCCGACAGAAAAGGGCACAACAAGATCATGAAAAATTACAATAAACCATCATGTTAAAAATTACATCTCTCGTACGCTATCCGTTTGAAAAACTTATCGTTTCTTAGAATGTTTTTCCCGAACCTGACTCCCATCTCCGACTTAAATCACAAGTGTGCTACCGGACCCGTACCGACCTCGTTCCGCGATCTTTTGCGTTGAAGTATCGTTTAGTGACAATTATTCGGTAAGGTGGCGCGGCCTGCTCCACACCTGGCGCCCAACATTTTGAGTTTCGCGAGCGGAACGTGGGAAGGCGGTATTTTGCGAAAAATAGAAGAAAATAGCGTCGCAGTATATAGTCACTTAAGAATTTATGTTTATATAAAAATTATGATAGTTCCAAATTTTTTTCTTTCTTTTTATCACATATTTCTCGATAATAAAGCAAAATTAATCAAAATTTTAAACTAAATCTAACATTTTTATAATTAATATTTCTTGAAATATTAATAAAAATTAATGATATTGCAGAATAGTTTAGTTTTTAGTGTAAGCGTGCACACACATACCTGTAACTTTTTTTTAACATTTTAAGTATTTTTTTATTTTTAAAGTATAAGTTATTTTCAATAGTAGAAATAATAAGTAATAAGTACATGTAAAAAATATAAATTATATTATACTAATTTAATCAATGTTTAAAATTCCCAGGAATCCATCCATCGCAAAGAATACATCGAGCTTTCGGGGTCCATAGCGGATGGACCATTCATTCCATAGGCCAATGGTGAAAATAGGTAAAAGCTGCAATTAATATTGACTATTGTAAAGTTCATACTAATTACTTAACTGTTCATACTAATTACTTAATTGATAATGCATGATGAATAAATTTCAATAAACATTATATATAGTTATTCAATATGTATTTCTCAAAATTATATATACCTAAATAGGAATCGTATACGTTTCGCCAGTACAGAAAAATAGCCCGATACTGGATCGATATCGAAAAGCGGATGTTTGGTTTTGATATTGGCTCAATATTGAGCCTAATATAGAAAAATTGTATTATTGATACTGGCTCCATACTTAGATACTGGATAGTCGTACTGTACGTGTACTGGGGCGTTATCGAAAAGTTTTTATCGTTTTCGGTACTGGTCCAGTATTAAAAAAGCTATATTATTGGTACTGACCCTATTCGTAGAATTAGTACTGGATACCCAAGTAAGAATCGTATACAATCTACCAATAGAGGATAGAGGGCCAGTATTATGCCGGTATCGAAAAACAGACGATACCAATGTTCTTTATAGGAAAACGAAAAGATCTAACGTAAAACCTAGATAGTTCAGTGGTAAGAACGCTTGCCGGACAAGCGGAAGACTCGAATTCGGTTCCAGCCGTCGCCCCAAAGATTTTTTCCTCATATGACTATTAAAAATAGACATGTATAAGTACAAATAAAAGCAGCCCGGCTATGGTCTGATCTTTCTTTCCGTACTATATAGTTGTGATATTAATAATTGTACAAATAATAAAAATTACTAAGAATCAATACTGGCCCAGTATAAGGAATAGATACTTCCCCAGTGCTAGGAATCAATACTTTGTTTATACGGGTACAGTACTGATTTTCGGTACTGACCCTTTTCTATCATCCCAGTATCACACCAATACTAAACCCGTACTGGTATCTGGTACTATGTCAGTAAGGTTTATCATAAATCGGTACTGGACCACTTTGATGCCAATAGTAAATTCCTACTTGGGCACTTATACAAAAATTATATTCGGCTATACAAATCTTTTATCTCTTACGAAAAATCAACTTATATAATTCCAGATTTTTAAATTTGGAAACAAATTGTAAAAGTAAAAATGTAAAAAATATGATACTTTTCAAATAATTAACAATAGCATGATGTAACGTTCAAGTTACATCTGTGAATTTTGAAAATTATAATTTCTGGTTACTCGCCATAGTCATCTAAATTTATAACGTCTAAAATGAAAGAACATACGCTTAACATTTCTGCAAAATACATCATAACAAAAAAAAATATATATATATATATTAGGACCTTAACTTAGTTTCCGCCCAAAAAATACTGAGAAAAAGCATTTATTGTAAAAAATTTATTTAAATTATTTCAATGAAAGTATTTTCCATCACTTTCTACAACTTTTTGCCATCTTTCTGGCAACTGGGCGATACCATCTCGATAAAACGATGTTTGTTTCGAAGCAATCCATTCGTCCACCCATTCTCGCACTTCTTCAACATTTCGGAAGCGTG